AAGTTATAACTGGTCAATTCATTTTCGAGATCCGTCGACTACTTAGTAGGCCAGAGTCTCGTTCGTTATCGGAATTAACCAGACAAATCGCTCCACCAACTAAGAACTGCCATGCACCACCACCCACCGAATCGAGAAAGAGCTTCAATCTGTCAATCCTTCCGTCTGGGCTCAGAGGTTTCCTGCTGAGTCAAATAAGCCGCAGGCTCCAATTTCGGTGGTGCCCTTCCACAATTCCTTGTCAGCTTGCAACCATATTTCCCCCGGAAACCCAAAGACTTTGCTTCCGAGCGCTGCCCGCCGGGTCATGGGAATAACGCCGGGCGGATCGCCAGTTGGCACGTTTATGGTTAGAACTAGCGGTATCTGGGATCGCCTTCGAACCTCTAACTTCGTTCTTGATTAATGAAAACATCCTTGGCAATGCTGCGAGAAGCTCCGCCCGGCGACGGGTCCAAGCACTTCACTTAGCCGCAATACGCACGCCCCGCCTGTTCCGATTAGTCATTACCTTCTGGTTCTGAAATCAACAAATAGAACCGAGGTCCTATTCCATTATTCCATGCATCAACATTCGCCATATTCAAATAGCCTGGGTTTGAGCACTCTAATTTTTTCAGTAACCTTCCGCCACTGACACTAATAAAGAGCATCCGCGTAGCCAAGGGCGGTTGTTCGAGCGTGACAGTAAACACCGTATGTGCACCGGCCAGTCCGAACTAGATCCAACCACGAGCTTTTTTAACCGCAACAACTTTAATATACGCTATTGGAGCTGGAATTACCGCGGCTGCTGGCACCAGACTTGCCCTCCAATGGATACTCGTTAAAGGATTTAAAGTGTACTCATTCCGATTGCGAGGCCTCGGATGAGACTCACATCGTTATTTTTCGTCACTACCTCCCCGTGCCGGGAGTGGGTAATTTGCGTGCCTGCTGCCTTCCTTAGACGTGGTAGCCGTTTCTCAGGCTCCCTCTCCGGAATCGAACCCTGATTCCCCGTTACCCGTTATAGCCATTGTAGGCGCATAACCTACAATCGAAAGCTGATAAGGCAGACACTTGAAAGAAGCGGCGCCGGTGCGGAGACCGTGCGCTCAGCCCGAAGTTATTCAGATTCACCACAGGTGGGTTACGGACCGGGGCCCGACCAGTTTTGAACTAATAAAAGCGCTCTTCCCTTGCGGTCAGAGACCAATTGCATGTATTAGCTCTAGAATTGCCACAGTTATCCAAGTAAGTGGGTTTACAGATCCAATGAAACATAGCTGATTTAATGAGCCATTCGCGGTTTCGCCTTAAATCGGCTTGTACTTACACATGCATGGCTTAATCTTTGAGACAAGTATATGACTACTGGCAGGATCAACCAGGTAGCTGCTGCTGTTGGCGGCGCCTATCACGGCGGCCAAAATAGTGAGATTGAGAGAGAGGCAGAAGACATTGGGCGAGGGACCGCACGTTGGCCTTAGAGAAATAGCAAACCAGATGATCAGATCTAACTGCACCTTCTCTTGCTATCCTCGGCGCCGGCAGCGCCACCGTGTGTGCTAATCTCCTCCCTTATCCGCTCCTCTTTGCCCCAGCTCCAGCGAGGCAGCCGACATTGGGCGAGGGACCGCACGTTGGCGAATCTCCTCCCTTATCCGCTCCTCTTCTCTTTGCCCCAGCGAGGCAGAAGACATTGGGCGAGGGACCGCACGTTGGCCTTAGAGAAACAGCAAACCAGATGATCAGATCAAACTGCACCTTCTCTCGCTATCCTCGGCGCCGGCAGCGCCACCGTGTGTGCCAATCTCCTCCCTTATCCTCTCCTCTTCTCTTTGCCCCAGCGAGGCAGCCGACATTGGGCGAGGGACCGCACGTTGGCCTTAGAGAAATAGCAAACCAGATGATCAGATCAAACTGCACCTTCTCTTGCCATCCTCGGCGCCGGCAGCGCCACCGTGTGTGCCAATCTCCTCCCTTATCCGCTCCTCTCCTCTTTACCCAGCTCCAGCGAGGCAGCCGACATTGGGCGAGGGACCGCACGTTGGCCAATCTCCTCCCTTATCCGCTCCTCTTCTCTTCTCTTTGCCCCAGCGAGGCATAAGACATTGGGCGAGGGACCGCACATTGGCCCATCTCCTCCTCTCTCTCTTTCTCTTACTGTTTGTGGGGACGTGGGCTCATGAGCGCCATCGTCGCCCAATATTGGTTAGGTTGTGTATTTCACGGGTGGGAACCGCCATCATCGTTGTTAGGTGATGGGGTAACCCAACGTGTGCTTTGACGAGTTTTGGCTGCGAAACTCTCTTTTTAGTATACTCGGCTCCCAGACTGCGCCCTGGTCAAGGAACCATGAGCTGCTATCTATGCACATTTAGTAGCTGTTTGCGCGCGGAATATGCAATAATTCGGCTCAAGAGACGGTTGGCGCCACTAGCGTCACAGACGCGAAGATCAAGATCAGCCAACGCAAGTCCGCTTAAGTTGGGCAGGACAGTGGCAGGGAGCCCTG